ATGAAAATGTTTCAAACATGTTTCTACATATTCAAAAACATGTTTGAAACATGTTTTAGACATCTGGGAATTATGTGGCAGCATGCTTCCTCTCCATTCATCGACTTCCACTACCGTACCAGCGAGGTGAACAGGTGAAACCGCAGTCATGCATGCCCGACTACGATGGTCAAGAAAAAATGTAGGCAGCACATCCTCCAGGGAGGCTATTGTGGCTTCCCCGGAACCTCGCTTGACCTGCACCCTGACTCAGTCCCCGCTCCCCCACCCATCCTTCGGGAAGACGTGGGACTCGGGTTCGGGGGACTCGGGTTGGCCTGACGGGGCCATCATGAAAATGACGGGACCCAGTCTGAAACTTGACGCGAGCTCCCGCTGCAAACATCGCACGAAAACTGGACCGTCAAAAAATCCATGACGCGCTCGTCAAAAAACGTCGGCAAACCCGACTTCCGGCGTACTCGAGACTTACGCTTCCTCGCATCATCCCCCATGCTCCCCCTGACTGTCGCTGGCGAACGCGACGGCGAAGCCTGGACGGGACGTCCGGGCGCCCCGAAGGAGAGGTCCTCCCGGGAGCGCCCCCCAGCTGGAAGGCGCCTCGGGCCACGTCGCAGCACGGCAGCAACATCGCTCCGGCCCGGCGGCCGGGCGCGATGGCCCACGCCGAGCGGGATCGCGCCGCCAGTGCTAGCCGCCAGGCCCGGAGGACAGGCGGAGGGAGGAGGAGCTGCCAGCAGACGATCCTCGAGCTTTTGCCTGCACGCCGCACCCTCCCGACCCCTCCTCCCTCCTCCCTCCTCCCTCCTCCCTCCTCCCTCCACAATTACTCAATATGAAAATACTCTCCCTCTTCCCCTGATGGCGTCCGGGTGATGGCCGCGCACCCTCCGCGTACTGTTTTTTACACACAGGATGCCCAGGAAATCCCGGGAAACGACTCTCGCTGAGGCGCCGGCGTCATTTTTTCCCAAAATGCTGCTCTCGTTGAGGCGCCGGCCTCATTTCTGCTCCCGAATCGTTCCGAATCGTGCTCCCGCTGCAGCGTGGGCCTCATTTTCGGATCGGTGTTTGGCCTCCGTCGTTCAGGATGGCGTTCTCGCCCCAGCGCGGGCCTTTTTCTCGCGCGCCCATCCGCCCGCCACCACCGCGCCGCACCACCACCACCACCACCACCACCACCACCACCACCACCACCACCACCACCACCACCACCACCACCACCACCACCCACCACCACACCACACCACCACCACCCACCCACCACCCACCACCACCACCACCACCACCACCACCACCACCACCACCACCACCACCACCACCACCACCACCACAACCACGCACACACGCACGCACGCACGCACGTGCACCACCACCCACTACGCACGCGCGCGCGGAGCCACAGGTCCGCTACGACACGCGTCCGCGGATAGAGAAAATCAGCGCCATGGTAAGGGATGGGAGGGAGGGGTAGGACGTCAGATATGACGCGAGCGCACCTAGCTTGTCCCTACCCCTCCCCCTCCTCCTCCTCCGCCTCCCCCTCCTCCGCCTCCTCCTCCTCCTCCTCCTCCCCGAGGGGATTCCACCCCACGGGGCCACGCTCAGGACACAGAAACCGCGCCCCAGGGAGGGAAACTCGTGTACCAGGCCCACGACCGAGGGACCCCACCCCCGAGGGCTTCTGGGCACAGTATGCAGACTCGTCGGGCGGAGGCGAGAAGTCCAAGCAGCCCGAATCCACCATGCAGCAAGACCGGGACAGTAGCGATGAGTCAAGTATCCACCATCCACGATGAGTCCAAGTAGCCCGATTTGACGGGTCCCCGACAAAAAGCAGAGGCGGGACCCAGGACCCTCGGCCGCTGTCTGGGCGGCTCCCTGCGCCACGACCGCTCAAGGCGGGTCTTCTGAGGGCTGAGGGTGTTGGGGGATCTCTGGGGGGCGAAGGACGAGGAGAAGGAGCGGCAGGGCGAAGGTGGCTGGGGACGCACCAGGGCCACCCCGCAGGGCCCATCTCGATCTGACCCAGCCGATTCGATATCGACCTCGGCCGGCCCGATCCGCTTCGATCCCGATGTGCCGACGATCCAGTGCGACCTGATGCTTGCACGTCGCAGTTGTGCATCCTGGCGCACTCGATCAGAGTCGATGCCGACTCCGTGCCCCGATGCGGCCCGATCCGACGTACACTCCGATTCGATACCCCGCTCCTCGATGCGGTGCTGACTGATATCCTGCCCCACTCGAGACCCCCCCCCCCTTCTCTGGTCGTGGGGGTGCCCTTCCAGACGGCCTCCCAGACGTGCGATGTCCTGACGACTCCACACGGGGGGTCGGCCCGAAGTCCCGAGCCGCTCTCCCCGGGGCCAGTCTTCCAGCGCGAGTCGTTCCTGGGAGGCCCCGGGGCTCGACGTGGGCTCCCGAAGGCCGAAGCCCGGCCAAAGCCTCCCCGATCGCTGCCTTCTTGGCCGGCGCGAGCCTGCCCTTGGCTCCTCCCGGGGGGGAGGGGGGAGACGTCGACTGCACGCAGGAGTGACCCTGGGTAAGAGGTAAGAGTGACCCTTGGTGCGTGGCTCAGACGCCAATACCTCATCGCGTTCAGCGATCGGGGGACCCCCTGGGGCCCGCACCAGAGGTCACTCCGGCGAAAGGTCACTCTCACGTGCAGTCGGAGACGGCCATCCGTCGGGAGCGGCCAAGAGGGGGGTGTCCAAGAGGGGGGGGTGCAAATCATGACCGGCGGCATGTGCGCGGCCCAGCGGAGGGGCCAGGGACGTAATAAAATAAGAAGAGGCGCCATGAAATCTGAGGAAATATCATGGCCCCCCGCCATGATATCCACCCCCCCCCCTAGTCATCACCCCCCTCTTTTCCGCCCCCGAATCCGACGGGGCATCCCACAGGGGCAACCCGGGCGCAAGGCCCCCCGCCCCGGCCCCGCCCGCTGCCCGCTGCCCTGCGCGTGCGCCCCGGACGCCACTCGGATGCCCACAGTTTGGAGGCGGGGGGGGGGGGGCCGCGCAGCGAAGAGGAGCGCGCGGTGGCGGCCGGGCGGGGCCCTCGGTAGTCGCCCTGGGCGACTGGCGGCTGGCGTGGCGGTGGTGTGGGAAGTCGGATGGCTGGAGGCCGGATGTGGGAGTGCGGATCTGGGGGGGGCCCGCAGCGAAGACGAGCGCGCGGTGGCGGCCGGGCGGGGCCCTCGAGAGTCGCCCTAGGGCGACCGGTGGCCGGCGTGGCGGTGGTGTGGGAAGTCGGATGGCTGGAGGCTGGGTGTGGGAGTGCGGATCTGGGGCAGCCTGGAGCTGGACCGGTGGACGTGGGGTGGGGGGCGGGGGGGGACCCCCTGGAGAAGATGGCACTCTCTCTCTCTCTCTCTGTGCCGGCCACGGCAGCGGAGGCTCAGGCAGGCTGCGCGGTGCCTCCGGGGGTGCTCACAGGCATCGCGCAGGCCCCTCCGGCCGGCGTCGCAGGAGCATGGTCGACTGGGGCTGCTCAGCAGAGGCGCTCGTGGGAGGAGAGGCGCACGAGGGGATCTCGAGGATCTCTCTCTCTCTCTCGCTGGCCCAGGCCGCGCGCGGCCGCCTTCGCACCCCGGCCGGTGGCACAGTGCGCGCGGCGACCTCGGGAGGCCCCGGGCACACCGCGGGGCACCAGGGGCGCCGGCTCGAGGCCCCCCCCCCCCCCGCCACCCCTTTGCCATCGCTCGGGCGGCCGTCCCCCGTGCACGCGGCGGTTTCGCGCACCTGCTTCCTCGCTGGAGGGCCCCGCCTGCTCCTCGAGGGCCCCTCGCCGGCAACAGCTGCACACGTCCGAGCGATACTACAAGGCTCGAGACCCCCCCCTCTTCGGGCACACCGGTGGGCGCCGGGGGCGCCCGCTCGAGGCCCTCCGCCCCTCCCCGCCCGCCGGCGGGGCCGAGGCCGCCCCCGCCCGAGGGCGCAGCACTCTCCCCCCGTGCGGCAGAGATGCCCAGGGGGGCCCAACCCGCGGGGGGGGTGCGCGGGGGGGTGACTGCAAGGGGACCTGGGCCAGCAGAGCACGCCTCGAGCACACGAGACCCTCCGCCGGCCAGAACGCACGGAACATCCAGGTGTGCCGTCCCCGGGGTGCGCAAAAGCATCCAACAAACACGAAGAACGCCAGCGCATCCTCCCCGAACGGACCTCGGTCTTATACCTTGGTCCGAATGTATACGTGTTGCCTAATGCGCGGACCAAGGGCAATGAGGTGTATAAAAATCGATAGGAGCAATTGTCCTACGAGTGCTGCCGACATTCCGTTGACAGACTTCCTGCACTGTGCTGCTGCAAGAGTGTGAAATCGGTGAGGGGTGAGGAGGACGTGGTAGAAGGGAGAGGATGAAGAGGAGGAGGGAAAGACGACGCAACGAGGAGGGTGGAGGAGGAGGAGGAGGAGGAGGAGGAGGAGGAGGAGGAGCAGCAGCAGAAGGACTAACGTCAAGTAGGAGGAGGAGGAGGAGGAGCAGGAGGAGGACGAGGGAGGAGGAGGAGGAGGAGCAGGAGGACGAGGGAAGAGGACGAGAAGGAAGGAGGAGGAGGAGAAGCAGGACGAACGTCAAGTAGGAGGATGAGGAGGAGGAGGAGGAGGAGGAGGAGGAAGAGGAGTAGGAAGAGGAGTAGGAAGGGCACCTGACGGGCACCTGATGGGCATCTGAGGGGCCTACCGCTCTCGAGACTTACAAAGCCTTCCCGGCGCGGGGGCGCCCAGCATGTGCCCGAGCCGCTTCTCTGTGGACTTCGGCGAGCTTGCTCTGCTTGCATGGAGGGGGGGAGGGGCGGGGCGCCCCCGAGAGGAAGTCCGAGAAGGAGGGAGGGGCGGAGGAGGACGTGGAGGAGGAGGAGGAGGAGGAGGAGGAGGAGGAGGAGGAGGAGGAGGAGGACGAGGAGGAGGAGGAGGAGGAGGACAACGGGGACTATCCTCGTGCCCTCGCTCCTCTCGTTCCCAAAGAGCCCCCCCCATCCCCGTCTTCGGGAGACCTCCCCTCGCAGGTTCGAGACGTGGTTGAACTGCTGGAGCTCGTCCATTGTGGCGACCCCGAACGGCGGGTCCGCCTGCCAAGCTCTCGGAACGAGAACGAGGCCAAAGCGAGGGGACGACGACCCCTCTCTCCCCGCCTGGCCGCCCCCCCCTACCCCCCCCCCCATCGATTCTCCCCGTCCACCCCCTCCTCTCTCCTCCTCCTCGTCCTCCTCCTCCTCCTCCTCCTCCTCCTCCTCCTCCTCCTCCTCCTCCCCTCCTCCTCCTCCTCCTCCCCCTCCTCCTCCTCTCCCTCCCCTCCTCCTCCTCCTCCTCCTCCTCCTCCTCCTCACCTCCTCCTCCTCTCCTCCCTCCCTCCTCCTCCTCCTCCTCTCCTCCTCCTCTCCTCCTCCTCCTCCTCCTCCTCCTCCCTCCTCCTCCCCTGCTCCTCCCTCCTCCCCCTCCTCCTCCCCTCCGCCTCCTCTTCCTCCTCATCTTCCTCCTCCTCCTCCTCCTCCTCCTCCTCCCTCCCCTCCTCCTCCTCCTCCTCCTCTCCTCCTCCTCCTCCTCCTCCTCCTCCTCCTCCTCCTCCTCCTCCTCCTCCTCCTCCTCTCCTCCTCCTCCTCCTCCTCCTCCTCCTCCTCCTCCTCCTCCTCCTCCTCCTCCCTCCTCCTCCTCATCCTCGTCTTCCTAGTACTCCCCCCTCATTTCTCCTCGTCCTGGTCCTCTCCCTCCCCCCATCCGTCCGCTCCCCCTCCTGTGGCACGAGAGGGCGAGGATATCTCTGCCGAGCAACAGCGAGGGACCCGAGGAGGAGCAGAGAACAAAGGCGAGAAGCAGGGACATGAGGACGAGGACGAGTAGCAGTGGGAAATCTAGGAAGCAACTCCTGGGAGGTCTTTGCAAGAACGACTGGGGGCGGTTAGGCCCGATCAAGGGGCTATTAGGCCAGTTTCCACCAGATCATGCCCTAGCAATGGGAAATTTAGGAAGCAACTCCTGGGAGGTCTTCGCAAGAACGATTGGGGGCGATTAGGCCCGATCAAGGGGGTGTTGGGCCAGTTTCTGCCAGATCATGCCCAGGATTGAACAGAACGGAGCGGGATACAGCAGGACCCTGGAGGGGCGGGGAGGGCAGAGACAAACGGAGGCGGCAGAAGCGCGGGCGCAAGGAACGCATGATGCCGACAGAAAATGGAGGGACACGACTGTTCGGGGGCAACTCATGGGAGCCTCCCATACCATCTTGTCGGCTCTTGCGAATCGACGCTAATCGACGCTAAATCTGCGCCATCTCAGCAACTCCAGACGCGAATCGACGCTACAGACGGAAGTAAAAGGGCACACCAGGATCCCATGATTTGCGACCGAACAAGTGGAAGTGTTTGCCACGCCAGGCTGCTGGTGTCCCGCAGGGGGAGTGAAGCAGTCGTGGCCGCGGCGGAGCAGATAGAGACTGCGCCTCGCGCTCGTCACCCCCAGGTCTGAGGACAAGCATCGACGGGGACCGTGCCCAGGCGCAAACCCTGCCCGGAAGGAGCAGCGCCTGCCGCCGGGCAGACGGCGTCGGGCAGCGACTGGGCGGCAGTCGCCTCGAGACCGGCAAGACGAGCAAGAGTTGCCGTCAGTTCCCGTCCAAGTCCGCTCCGTCCGTACGACCGCCCGCCTCGAGCCTCATCGTCGCGCGCACAGCTCGGCAAAATTGTTCCCGGGCAGGTGGGCGGTGAGCACCGCCAGCTGGTCGCAGGCCGCGCCCGCTCAGAGACGCGTCTGCGCACATGGGCACGCTCGCTCGCGGGTGCGGAGGGGGAGGATGCTGCCAGGGCCTCGCCAGGTCGACGCCGGGTGGGCGACAACAGCAGGGGGGGGTATGCTGCCGATGCATGTCGCACGGTAGTGATGTGTACATGTGTGATGTGTGCGTCTGGTGTCGGCTTTTTGGGGTGGTGTTGGTGCATATGGTTCGTGTGTGTGGTCATGGGGTGGCATCAACGTGCGTGCTTGATGTGTGATACGGATGTGGTGGCGTGATGAATGTAGCTGGTGTATAGTTTTGAGACCTGCGTGTCGTGTGTGAGTGTTGTGTAAATCTGTGTGTGTGCATGCGTGTGCGCATCTGTGTGTGCGCGCTCTCGCGCTGAGTAAATCGTGTGTGCGGGGTCGGTCTATGTGGTCTGGACAAAAACAGTGATTGCGGTCCTTGACGTATGTGACTGACTTGGACGATTGGTGTACAACGCTCATGGTAGTGTCTGATGACTGCTACTCGTCTCGGATGGATGCGTAAATTGGTAGTGCAGGTTGTTCATGCGTGAGGCCGATGTGTGTTATTGAGCTGTGTTACTGGTGGCTGTTAGTGATGCATGTCAATGGTGCCTGGTATCGGGTTGCTTGATTAGAGCATGCTAGCGGCGTGTGTGGGTTCTTGACGTATGGATTTCGTATGTGTTCGCATGATACGGCGTTAGTGTAGTTCAGTGCTGCGTGTGCATGGTATGGTGATGCCGTATGCTAGTTAAGTCGGCACGTCATGCGCGTTCGTTACGTATCATTGTTACGCCTGTTCTAGGTGTATGTGGACGGCGTGACGTCTTGACGTCTGCAGCTGGTGCTTGTTCGCATGACATGGTATTGGTGCGCATTAGTTATGCATGTACATGGTTGGTGGTAATGTCGTATGTGGGTTAAGGTGCGTGTTATTCGCGTATGCTTGCTACGCCTGGTCTGGATGCATGTGGATGACACGACGCCGTGACGCCTCCTTGGTGGGGACACCTGCTGGTTATGCCTGTCGTGTATGCTTGCCCACTATGTCGTCAGTGCGCTCTCGGGGATCTCTGGGGATTGGCGGCCGCGGTGCGCAGGGTGGGCCAGGGGGGGAAGCCCAAAGATCTCCTGGATTCTTGGCGCCTGGCGGCCACGGTAGGCATGGCGGGCGAGGCGGGTGGGAGCCCTTTGGTCAAAATCCAACAGCCCTACCCTGTCGGGCGGGAAGAACGGCCTGGGACCAACACCCTCGGCACACCAAACATGCCCCACGGGCGGATTCGCGGATCGCCTTGGCACAGAGGGCCCTCTGATCAATCCCTGGGGTCGAACAGAATACGCAAGGAAGCGTCAAGAACTGCAACCCCGAACCTCCATGGGAGGCATGGATTCTTCCTGCCATCGCTCGGACGGACACTCCCCGTGCATCTTTCGACTCCGTGCGTGCATCGTTTCGCAAGGGGGCCCAAAATGCTCCTCGATGATCCTCGCCGAGAGAAAACGCACACGCCCGAGCGATGCCAAGGCTCTGGGAGCGGGCTGGGGCCGTCTGCCAGCCTCGGAGCAGCCGGCGAGCTTCCGAGACCGCCCACGTGCCCGCCAGGGTCGAGGAACGCCTTGGACACGCCAGGAATGACCTTGCAGCTAGGCAGGCGCGTTCCACGATTCGCAAAGTCACTACAGTCAAAACGTGTATTAAGGGTGGGTGGTAGGGACGCAAGACCCTTGGAGGCCAAAGCAGGGACTCTTGGGGCGGCGGGCGACCAGTGAAAACGGCAGAGGACAGGCCGCAGGTGCAAGGACACAAGGGCACCCTAGGTGAAGGCGCGCGTCCTTCCTAGGCGCGTTGACTGTACTCGCACATGGCCTGGACCAGCCGCGGAGGATCCACGGTGCAGTGTTGATGACATTTACGAGCAGGCACTCTGCGAGCAGTGGAACGAGCTCGGACAGCAGCTCCAGGAAGGAAGCCACAGGAGAGCTCCGAGGGGAGCCCCCGCTGGGCAGGAAGAGACGGGAGCCTCGGGACAAGAACTCCTGACGCTGCCCCACACCTCTGGGGCTCTGAGCACTGCGGCCGAGGACGGCTCTGGCAGGGCCTCCGACAAACTGCTGAGTGCGCACGGCAGGCACACACGGAAGGGAGTCTGCTCTATGAGATCTGGGGGCCCCATCTTCGGCGATCTTCGAGGGCCCCACGGTGCCCCGGAACTTCTGTGGCTCCTTGGGCCGTCGGGGACGAGACATTTCCGCAGGGACCCTGCCGGCAGGCCGCTTTCTGGAACAGTGAGCCCACGGCAGAGCAGAGAGGCTCCCAGCGAGACTCCGTCCCCAGGGTCCGAAAAGGGCCCAGGAGGCCCCGAGGCGGCCCCCAAGACAGGCCCAGCGCCGCCCCCCCCCCATCCCCACGATCTCGAGACTCCCTGGGACAGCCACCGGACCTGCAGTCGAAACGCTGCCACAGGGAGCCCTACAGAAGGACGAGGCCCCTCTCTTCCATAAGTTAGACTTCGACGTTCCAGAGAATACTTAAGGATAACCGAAAACCTAAGGAAAGATGTAAGACAAGTAGAGAAAACTGAGCCCCTCCACGACGAAAAGGGTTCCTTCTTCGTGCGAAGGACCACGACTAGGAGAGTCCCCTCCAGCCCAGGCCCTCAGGGAATCCCCGAGGCCGACCCGCGCTGAAGACCCCCGCAAACACTGTTCCAACAGAGCCCCTAAGATGGCTCCGAGCAAGCCCGCCTGGCCATCCAATGCTTTAGAAGGCAACTGCTGGGAGGTCTTCGTCGGAAAGATCAGGGAGCATGAAGCCCCGTTGGAGGGCTGCTGCGCTGGATGAGGCCGCGGACTGAGCGGGATTCTGGGCCAGACTCAGCGGGATTCAAGCTGGGTCGAGCAGGATCAAACCAGATGAAGCCGGAGTTCGGACCAGGGCAAACTCAGGACTTGACCTCCTACGAATTGTGCATCCTGAAAGTGCTGGCCTCGGGGCGAAGAATCTCAACAATTACCCCAGTGCGACCCTACCTAGAAGTTGGAGTCCCTAGGAAAGCAGCATTAGTAGCTATGCAATGCTATGCCGGGCTATGCCATGCTATGCTGCGCTATGCTATGCTATGCTATGATATGCTATGATATGCTATGCTATGCTATGCTATGATATGCTATGCTATGCTGCGCTATGCTGTGCTACGCTACGATATGCTATGCTAAGCTAAGCTATGCTATGGAATGCTGCGCTGTGCTATGTCAAGATATGCTATGTTATGCTATGATATGATATGATATGCTAAGCTGCGCTATGCTATGTTATGATATGATATGCTGCGCTATGATATGCTATGCTATGCTATGATATGCTTGGCTATGGTGTGCTATGCTATGGTATGCGAATGCAGCGCTGCGCTATGCTAAGCTAAGCTAAGCTAAGCGAACCCTCTAGGCAGAGCCTAGGTAGGGAACTACACCCGTGCTAAGCTCAGCGAAGCTAAGCTGAAGGTAAGCTATGCTAAGATAAACCTGAGCTAAGATGAAGCTAAGCTAAGCTAAGCTGGAATAAGCTAAGCTGAGATGAGATAAGCAAAGCTAAGCTAAGGGGCCGCAACTGGCGGAACCGCGGGGCGGATGCCGGGGGAACCGTCTGGGGCGCTTTCCACTGCCCGGCCCCTTTAAGCTAAGAGAGTAAGAACCCCCTAGGCAGAGCGTAGGTAGGGAAAAACGAGGTTGGAGAGGAGCCGCCCGGGCCTGCCCACGGGTGCTATCTCGGATGCTCGCGCAGCTCCGCTCTGCCCAGACCCCTCAAGCTCTGCCCTCCTGCTCGACGACAGCGATGCTCCCTCTCAGCGACGACGGCCATCCTGCCCGACGGCGACCCCTCCAGTTCTGCCCTCCTGCTCGACGAGGTCGTCGGAACCCCTCCTTCTGCCCTCCCGTCCCTCCGATGTCCCCGCCCACCGCTCGACAAGGACGAAGGGGACGAGGGCGAGAGAAGAGGGAGGAGGGCGAGGGCGATGAGGAGCGGGGAGTGCCCTGGACTCGAGTCTAAGTGCGCAGCACGAGCCGGATGCTGAACCCCACGAACTGGCCGAGAGGACGCTGGCGGTGGCAGCCCAAAACTGGCCGGAAGTGGGCCCGAACCGATCATTCAACAAAACGCCCTCTTTCGAGGCGAGGTAGTCCTCGCCCAACATAGCTGCAGTCTTCTCCAAAGCTGCTTGATGAAAAACGGGCACGGCCGTGCACTGAGCAAACACCAGTGGGGGCTCGAAGCTCAGCCAAAGCCAACGGCACTCCACAGCGCACTGCAAGCACCGCCTCCATGTAGCATCCAGGATGGGCACGCTGCCTTTGTCCAGGGGAGCCAAGGAGACAAGCTTCGACAATCTCGTTCCAAGATTGAAGGGCGGGGCCCCTCCTCTCAGGGCACGTCAGTCATAAGCAGATTGAGTTGCAACCTTGGCCAGACTGTCCAGCGCAGAACAAAGACTGAAGCAGCGGCCACGACAGCGCACCCACGAGCAACTCGCAGGACAACAAAGTTGCTACAGAGAGAAGGCTTGCATGGAGTTCGCATGTCCAGTATGGCTGTGCGCGTCCATGGAGCTGCCCGCCTTGTCTTCTGCATTGGCTCCTCGATGACAAGAGTATGATGTCCCCGGAACCACGCACCAAGGCCAGAGCCTCGCACCAAGAGTATGATCTCCCTTCCTTCTGCATTGGCGCCTGCACCATGTCAGTGGCCAGAGCCTCGCGCTCCTTCTGCGCTGCAGAGAGGACAACATCGGCCTCCCGCTCGGCGTCATGCATCTCATCGATGCGCTTGGAGGCTCTTGCGACGTACGCCGTCCTGTTGCTGACCCCCACCCTTGGCGACGTAAAGAGGATGCGCACGAGCTGGAATACGCTGTGCTCCAACTCGGGCCATGCAGAATCCGAGCCTGAGCCAGGGGCCCAGTGCTCACACACACACACACACACACACACACACACACACACACACACACACACACACGCACGCGCGCGCGCACGCCCGCACGCACGCACGCACAAACACACACACACACACACACACTTGTTCCACCATCGGCAAGTTCACGGCACAGTCGCGAAAAGCGAAGCTGGGTCGCGCCTAGGCGACTTTCCATCTGGTGCACCACATGGGTGGACTGGGTGGTGGCAGCCGGGTGCAGAACTCGGTGCACACACAATCACACACACACACACACACACGCGCGCGCGCGCGCGCGCACACACTTTTTTGGGCGTCGCGGCCCTGCGCGCAGCGACAGGGCGTAGAAGGTCGGAAAGCATCAGATCGCGCGCGCGCGCGTCCAAGCCCGCCTCTGCACTCAGAGAACAGCTAGAGCCTCGCAGCCGCCGGCAGCCAAGGCGCCCGGGACGCCGAGCGATCCCACCGGCGGCGGCGACGTCTGGCCTCCTCGGGGCCCAGCACGCGGCGCACCGCGGCGAGGAAGCCGCCAATGGGGCCCGCGACGCGTGAGCGGCACCAGGCGCCAGCACGATGCCACGGCTGCTGGGACGGTCGGGCATGGCGGCCGTGGCGGTGATGGCGACGGCGTCATGATCTGAGATCCGACGCTGCGAACAATGCACAGCACCGCAAACGATCGCCACCGGAGCCCTGCAGCCCCCATCGTGCTGCTGCATGCTTCGACCAGATCGACCCGCGATGGCCCCAGGGCCCGAGGACCCGGCGGAAACGCCGGGTGCGAAACAACGCCCGCCTCTGTGGGTGGGCGGAGCGAACCACCCGGCCTCAGTGCGGCAAGCCTCGCCATCGCTCGGACGTCCATCCCCCGTGCAGTCTTTGGCCTCGTGCGTGCTTGGCGTGCCGCCACTATCGCAATGGGCTCCAAGAGGCTCCCGGAAGTCCTCGCCGAGAAAAAAAAGGCACACGTCCGAGCGGCGCCAAGAAGCCCCCGACGCCCAGCGACCCACCCGGCGCGGGCACGCACCCGCGCCGCCCCGCCCGGCGCACCACGGCGGCGCGCGGCGCAGACGCCACGTGGGCGCGCCCCGACGGGCCCCGCGCGCCAGCCCATCGCCTGCAAGGCGCCGGCGCGCGCGCCTCGGGCGGGCGCGGAGAGGCGTGCCGTGAGCACCTGCGCTGCCGCCTGGCGCGGCGATGCCCGACGGGCTTCCCGGCAGCGGCCGCGGCGCGGCCCGTGCCGCAGAGGCGCGCGCGCGCGCGAAGGAGGCCCCGGCCAGCTCAACGAGGAGGCTCGCCAGCACCTGGCACGCGTGCGCCCGAATCCCCCCTGGGCCCGGCGACGGCCCCCCTGCCCGGGGGGCTGACGTCATGGACGCTGTGCGAAGCGCGGCATGCACGAGAGCGGGAAAAGGGGAGGGAGGAGAGGAGGACCCGCCACCCCTTACAGCTCCCGTCTGGGCCGGAGGGAGGCGCCACCAAAAGGGCGGGGAGGGCGGCAGGCTTCAGCCAAGAGAGGGCGGCAGGTTTCGGCAAGACAGGGCGGCTGGAAGCCTGGAGGGCAGAAGCGGGAAGCCCCACGCTCGCCACAGCGGGCGCGGAGAGGGGCGCTCGGCCCTCCCCTCCGGGGGGAGGGGGCCCGAAGAGGAGAGGGGAGGCTCAGGAGAAGGAAGAAGAGAAAAGGGAAAAGGAAGGTGGGAGGGGCGGAGGTCGAGAAGGGGTGATGGAGGAACAGGGAGGCGCCCACCGGCGTTCCGCGCCCTTCCTCCCTCCCCTTCCGCCCGCCTCCTCCTGCCTCCTTCCTGCCTCCTCCTGCTTCCTCCTATCTCCTCCCCCCTCCTTCTCATCCTACCTCCTCCCTCTCCCCATGCTACTCCGTCCTCCCCGTACCTCCTCCGTCATCCCCTCCTCCCTCCTGCGCGCCTCCTCCCTCCCGCTTCCTCTCCAGTGGGGGGATGGGCGCGCCCGATGCCCTCCCAGCGGAAGGCCTTTGCGGCGATGAACCGCATGAGCTCCAGCATCACCACGTGCCCAGACAATCGCCCGGTCATGATGACGGCCTTCCCTCTCATCCTCCAGCCAGCTCCAAATCCTGCGCCTCATCCTCCTCCTCGTCCTCCTCATCCTCCTCGTCCTCCTCCTCCTCACCATCATCACCACCATAATCAGAAGAACCAGCCGCGCAGCATCCTCGCAATCATCATCATCAGCATCATCATCAGCAGCAGAATCACCATCACCAACATCCTCACAATCATCATCATCATCACCACCACCACCACCACCACCATCATCATCATCATCATCATCATCATCATCATCATCATCATCATCATCATCATCACCATCCCAATAATCATCACCATCATCATCAACATCATCATGAACAGCAGCAGCACCATCATGATCGTCGTCACCGTCATCGTCGTCGTCATCGTCAGCATCATCAGCATCACCATCGTCATCATCGGCATCGTCATCGTCGTCGTCATCGTCATCACCACCACAGTCATCATTGATCAAACCATCACCATAGCCATCACCATCTCCATCACAATCTCCATCACCATCACCATCATCATCATGTCCATATTCATCTTCGTTCCCATCATCATCATCATCCTCATCATCATCGCCATTATCAGCACTTTCATCAGCATCGTCATCATCATCATCATCATCAGCAGCATCATCATATTCGTCATCATGATCACCAGCAGCATCATCAGCATTATCATCATCTGCACCATCATGGTTAACAGCATCATCAGCATCAGCCTGGTAACCCTCATCGCCAACATCATCACCGCACACGATCAGCATTACGATCATCATCGTCGTCATCATCATCACAATCAGTATCATGATTATCATAAGCATGATCGTCGCCATCATCTTCAGTAGCATCAGTCGTCATCGTCGCCACTATCACCACAACCATCATCGCCATCGCCCTCGAGGTCATCACCACCATCACCAGCAGCATCATGGGCTTCGTCAACGTCGTCGTCATCATCATCAGCATCAGCATCATCATCAGCATCAGCCTAATCAGCATCAACAGCATCAGCACAGTCGTCGTCAGCCTCATCATAATCATCGGTACAAGCATCATCAGAGGCGTTATCTACATCCTCATCACCATCACCATCACCACCATCATCATCAGAATCAGCATCGTCATGGTCTTCATCAGCAGGCATCATCAGCAGCAGCACCTCCACCATCATCGTCATGGTCAGCATCGCCGCCAGCCTTGTCATCGTCAGCATCACCATCACCGCTACAGTCATCATCATCATCATCATCATCATCATCGTCGTCAGCATCATCAGCATCGTCGTCGTCATCGTCAGTTACATCACCGCTATCACCATCATCAACAACATCAGCATCACCATCGCCCTCACCATCACCATCACCATTACCATCATCACCACCACCATCGCCATCACCGCCACCATCACCATGATCGTCATCGTCAGCAACATCAAGCTCATCAGAATCATCGCTTTCAGCAGCAACATCCTGATCATCGCTGTCGTCGTAAGACCATCACACGCAACCATCATCATCAGCCCTCGTACTTGACCGCATCCACCGCCTGCCCCTGCTCATCTTCCTCCTCCTCCTCCTCCTCCTCCTCCTTCTCATACTTGCCACCTCTTCCTCCCCCTTCTCCCCCTCCTCCCAATCCTTCTCCTCCACTTCAGGTGGAGAGAGTAAGAAAAAAACAGCACATGATGGTCGGAATGGGGGAATGGGGGCTACCTTGCCGACGCCTGCAGTTCTAACACCACTCTGTCCTCTCGCGGGAGCTCCGCTTCCCCGCCTCTCCTTGCACCCCCTGCACTCAGGCGGTTGTACTGCTTGTTCTTACCTCCAAAGCGCTAAAGCCTAGTGGGTAGAAATCCGCCGAACATTAAAAAGGTGGAGAGAGCTCGATGAGGAGCGCGACGAGGACAGGGAATGAGCAGGGAGGGCGGCACAGCAAGAAGAAACGAGCAGGGCAGGAAGGACGGGGGTTTTACTGATCAAGCAGCCAGGTCTGCGCCCAGTGTATCTCTACCTGGGACAATTTGCTGGAGTTTTCTGCGGTGGTTTCTCTACCTCGGACAAACTGCTGGAGTCTAGTGCGTCGGACTGCTGGTCGGACGGGGCCCAGAAGCGACCCCAAAGATGTAGCGGTTTCTGGCCTCGACCCAATGGTCATCGGTGGCCTCACTCTTTGTGACTCCCATCGACTTGGGTTCCGGGATCGTTTTGGCATGTCACTGTGCCATCAGTGCGGTCGTACAACCACCGCTGACGGGCGCCAGCTTTCTGCTGGATGTTCCGAACCTTTTAAAGAAATTGCGCGAAAACTTGGCCCGCATCGCGCAAAGCAGGTTTCGCATTTATGCATGGCCATGGAAAACGGCCCTACCTGCTCGCTGGGAGCGCGAGCGAGAGGTGATTCGCATTATTCGGTTGCCTGACGGCTAACCCTCTTCTATCCCTCTCGCTGATTTTCCCTGCGCGCTGTGCTGCGCAAGCGATCAAAATGATCCTCTTCTCCCCAATGTCCCTCCTCCTGCTCCTCCTCCTCCTCTTTCTCTGGCTCCTCCTCCTGCTCCTCCTCCTGCTCCTCCTCCGCCTCCTCCTGCTCCTCCTCCCCCCCATTATCCTCCTCCCCCTCCTCCGCCTCCTCCTCTTCCTCCTTCTCCTCCTCCTCATCCTCCTCCTCCTCATCATCATCATCAGCATCATCATCATCCCCGCCTCCTCTGCCACCCTACCATACCCACTCATCGGGCGCGGCCTAACCGACCTCTTCCGCGATGACCTCCATCCGCGACGACCCCCTATCATCCTCGAGGGCTCCGCAGAAGGGCCAATGGAGCCATCGGCAGCAGCTGGCGCCTTCTCGAGAAACGAACGTTGTTCGGCCCACTCGTTGGCCTCCAGGGCCCCGAGGACCGCCCGTAGCTCGCCTGGCCCTCTTCTTGCGACCGAGCCGAACCGCGGGGGCCACCGGGGCCTTCAGCGGGGAGGACGCGACCTCCTGCGCGATGGCCAGGAACTTCGGAGCGTGTTCCTCCGGAAAGGTCAGGACCTGTCTCCAGGCGGGAGGGGGGGCGGCCGAGGAGGCGGGCCAGGCGGAGAGGTGGACGAAGACGAGGGAGTGGGGAGGGAGGGCTAAGGTAGAGGGGGAGGAGGCGCAGGAAAGAACAGAGGGAGGGGGGGAGGAGGAGGAGGAGGAGGAGGAGGAGGAGGAGGAGGAGGAGGAGGAGGGAGGAGGAGGAGGAGGAGGAGGAGGAGGAGGAGGAGGAGGAGGAGGAGGAGGGAGGAGGAGGAGGAGGAGGAGGAGGAGGAGGGGAGGAGGAGGAGGGAGGGGGAGGAGGGAGGAGGGAGGAGGCAGGAGGGAGGAGGGAGGAGGAGGAGGAGGAGGAGGAGGAGGAGGAGGAGGAGGAGGAGGAGGAGGAGCAGGAGGAGGAGGAGGAGGAAGGGGAGGAGGAGCAGGAGGAGGAGGAGGAGGAGGAGGAAGAAGAGGTTCAACGCCCATAAAAGGAAGTACAAAGGGGGGGAGAGAAACGGAAAAACGGAGTGGTGTGCCCATCGAAGGAGACCTTTTTGCACCCAGCCGAGGGTTCCATCCCCACGGTCCTGGGCCCAGCCGACAGGGCCCCCCCCCCTCCCCCCCAAGCAGCGCTCGTCGAGGTCCCCTTCCTCGAGCTGCTCTGCTCTGCGAGCTCGGGATGCAGCACAGGCCTCGACGGCACGTCGCCCAAGCTCTTCCGCAAAATCTCTGGATTCGAAGCCAAACGCTTTGAGCACACGCTCAACAGTCGGCATCGAGGGGGCCCGCGGGCTCGAACAAGGGCCAAAGCGAGACGGCGGCCTGCACTCCTCTTCCGCCACGCCACAGTGAGCCGCCCACTTCGCCCGGGTGGCTGCAGAGGGGACCCGGGGCTCGTCCAGGGAAACACCAGGATCAGTAGGGTGGATGCGGTCCCTCAGGCGCTTACGCACGGTGTAGGATGACCCACCCTTGACCCGCCGAGGACCTAAGCACACGCTGCTTGCAGCGCGCACAAGCGGTGCAACAAAGCATCGGCTCAGACCCCGAGACACCTGCCTCCAGGCTCGAGCGACCGTGCAGCTTCCACGGCATCCGAATGCCCATGCCGAACCCCTCGTCTTCCGCCTCCTCAGCCTCCTCCCCGTCCCAGCCGTTCTCCCTGACAGCCTCCGCCCCACCCCCAGCCGCAGCAAGCGCAGCAGCAGAGGGAGATGTCGCCGGGGGAGCAAAGGGGGAGGGGGCCGGGGGCACGGGGCGTGGCCTCGGGACTGGCCGGGGGGGGAGGGGCCAAAACAGGGCCCCCCAAATCGATCAAACGAATCGCCTCGAGGCCCTGGTGATCCTGCAAATTCTCGTTGACCATACGAGTGGTCAATCCCGCCGCAAATCTGACCGCCTGGGACGCCATGCCTAGACATCCTTCGAGGAACAGGGCATCTCGATCAACAAACGCTCCATAGCTGGCCCCTAGCTTGGCGAACTGGTTCGCCTTGGCATTGCCTTCGAGCTCGAAATGTGACCAGATGCTGACTCTGACCCGTTCCATGGAGCAGTGGCTTTTCACATGCTTGAAGGTCAGCGCTGAAACATCCTCTCTCGAATGGACCCTCAGCCACAGGTGGGCCCGAGGGTTGGCAACAGATGTGGCTCCTCTGCTAGCATTTGCAGCAGCCAGGAGTGGCTTTGCAGTCTGCGAGCACACTGCAAGTGCCAAATAGGTGCTCGGAGACCATGAGCATGGCATAGTCCTCACCGTCGCGCGCTGTGTGGGTCGTGACGAACTCGGGCGGCACAACTCCAGAGATGGCTCCCAAGTATTCTCGATGCGTACGCCGCCCTGGCCTGGACAGAAGGGCCTGCACACCGACCCTGGGGCCAGGAACTGCCTGGCCAGGATCGGCGAGGTGGTGGGTTGACATCTCCGAGAACACCAAGGCGCCTCCGAATGACACTTGTACAACTGGGCGAGCCGTCGCGCGAAATCTGCGGGGCGCTTGAGCGTCATGGCTCCTGCCCACGACGTCATCAGACGGGACCAGGAGAGCACCTTCGTATACGAAGAGGAACGGTGCGATGTCCTTGTATGCACAGCAGGTAGCACCAGCCCCCCACCCGAGTGGTAGTCTCGCAGCCAACGAGCCCGAACAAAGCTCAGCCTCAGACCCATCGCCTTCGACGACGAAGGCGATCGCACTTGCCCTGAATCCTTAAGCGAAAGTCCAGTGTGTTGCAAACTCGAGCGCTAGGAATGGTAAGTGCTACAGAGAAGAGCTTGATGCCTGGAACATGCACGTCCGGAGGTCCGCAAGCACCTCAGAAAGTCCATGCTCATGCCGAGTATTATTATTCTTCTTCGGCCCTCCCTGCCCCCTCAAAGTGTATGCTCATGCCGATGCTTCTTCCTCGACCCTCCCTCCCCCCTCTGCCTTGATCTTGCTGCCGTTCTTGCCGTCGTGGAACGTGGCGTGGAAGGTGCTGACGTTGCAGTAGGCCCGAAGGCGCCGGGGTGGCAGCTGAAGCCGCCGCTTCAGGTCGTAGATCTTCAGCGTCTCGCCGTGTATCTCCACCTTCGTGGGATCAGCCAGCACCAGGTCGGAAGATCGGATCGATTCGGAACGCGCGTCCGATCAGGCCGAATCGGCAGGAAGTCGAGGTCGAAATCGGATCGGGTCGGGTGCGCCCGGATAGACACGCGGCGCCATGCAATCACTGGGGCGCCTCAGGTCGGCAGGAGGTCGACGTCAAGTCGGGTCGAATCGAGTGAGCTCGGCAACAAAGGGCCCCACCTTCGTGCACAGCTGCCTTCTGCGGGACGCCGTGAGAACACCGTCTGGCAGGCCTCTGGGCAGGGACACAGGGAAGAGCGGCTGCGGGCGCATCGGGAACGAGGACAGGTAGCCCTCGTCCCCCTCTGGCGCGCCCTCGCCCTTGATGATGTCCAGCAGCTGCCTGGGGAGCAGGGCGGGCGAGCGAGCCCTCATGTAGGGCCTACCCAAGCCACCCCCACACCCACCACATCATGCTTTATGTGTTCAACGCTTCTCTCTAGAGCCTTTGGCCAGGCGACCGTCGTCAGCTGCATGTGCCTCAAGAGAGGCCCATAGCAACTTGCGAAAGACACAACCGCCTAGGGCAGGGGGAAAGCATTAGTATTAAACCAACAACCAGCGTAATCAACACCCACAACTTTTGAATAAAAAATGCCGCGCACGAAATTGCCTGGGACACTGATCTTCTCGGGCCATCACGCACGCGCAACGGCTCAATTCTATGAACGCAAAAACACGATCATAAAACGCTCAAGAACTGTTCAAAAAAAACGCAGACGGTTTTATAACACGATGTGTGACACCAGAAAGGTCGCGATTCGCGATCGTCGCCGCCGGGGCGTGCCGACCAAGTCCGCAAGCGCTCCAGGAAAAATATTAAAAATTGGCCCGGTGGGCGTGCAGAGGCCTCCTCGATAGGGTCGGAGTAGATGGGGTCGGAGGATCGCGTCGCATCGCCGATACATCGGCGATGCATCGGCGATGCATCAGCGATGCATCGCCGATGAATCGACGCCGCCGGCGCGGAGAACATCGGGCTCCACATCGAGCCGCATCGCCGATGCATCGGCGATGCGACGCGGTCCTCCGACCCCAGCTGCTCGGACCCCATCCAGGAGGCCCAGAGTGTGGGGGTGGGTGGATCTCTCTCTCGATCACGGGCGGGTCGGGCGGGCGGGGCGTCAGAGCGTGCGGGCGGGCCTCCAGGCAAGCGCTCGGGCGGGCTCTCGTGGGCGGCTCGGGCGGGCGGTGCATCAGAGCGCGCGGGCCGGGCGGGCGGACCCCGACGAACATCCCGAGCCAACCTCGGAGGACCCCCTGGCCATCGCTCGGACGTCCATTCCCTTTGTGTTTTTGTCCGGTTTCGTGCGTGGCTTTTTCGCCAAATGGATCAACTCCTCGATGGTCCTCGCCGAAGGGAAAATGCACACGTCCGAGCGATGCCAAGCCCCCTTCTCCCTGATCTTGTTTTGGGGGCTCCTGCCCCTGGACTGCCTGCCCTCCGTCGGCTCGTTCAGGATGGGTGTCCCAGTGAAGCCGGCGAGCACGAGGTTCCCCGCACTCTTGAGCAGGTCGCGGAGGCGCTGCAACTGCTCCCCGTACTGCGTCTGCGTCCGGACCAGGTTGTGGGTCTCGTCCATCAGCACAATCCTCGGATGTTCCCCCGGACGCGTCCCATGAGAAGACCCCGCTCCCCTTTCCCTCCCCCCGTCCCCCCTGCTTTCTGTCACCTCCCCCCTTTTCCCCTATCCCCCCCCTTCCCCTCCCCCGCAATGCCCTTGTAACATGCCCCACCCCCGCTTTCTCTCGCTTCCCCTCCCAGTTTGTCGCTGGGGCGGCGCAATCTCAAGGACCTGATCACGCGGGCAGACACACACCAACCATGCCATGATCCCCCCACCTCCCTATTTCCCTCCCACCACCTCCTTCCTCCCCTCCCTCAACCCCTCAACCCCTCCCCTTCCCACCCCCTACCTATTGTCCCTCCCTCACTGCCTTTTCCCCCCCCCCCACCCTTCTGTCTCCCCCCCACCCCCCTGACTCATTTCCCCCACCCCCCTCCCTCCCCCAACCTCCCACGATCCTCATCGAACCACCTCCCTTCTCCCTCCGGTCACACCGTTTCTCCTTGGGTAGTCGTTCCAGATGGAAAACGCCACAGGGTTGAAACCACTGCTGGCTGTGGAGCACCCCATCTGGTTGTAGAGTGGCTCTTCTGGTTGCGAAGCGCCCGAATCTCCCCCTCGCCCGGCCCCCCCCCCCGGTTTCCCTCCCGAGGTCTTGCTGGAGTAGACGTTGGTGCCCCCCTTCTCGAACCCAATCTTCATCAGGCACGACACGGGCCTCCCCGCGGGCGAGAGGGCGCTGAAGGCGCCGCCGGCCGACGTGTAGTTGATGGCCCGCAGGGGCGCGGCGGGCATGAACTCGCCCGGGTGCCTCTCCGGGCCCCCGACATGGGGACGTTGGCGCAGTTTTTTGTTCACGTTGCATTGCTTCCACCGCGGGCGTTTCCGCCTGGTTTCGGCCCTGGGACCTTCGCAGATCGATCTGGCTCGAAAAATGCCGCAGATGGGATCCAGGACTCCGGTAGCGCTTCCTGCGACGTTATCAGTTCTGCAGCGGGGACTTTGACGAGACAGGACACTGGCGCACCCGAGAAAACTGCACCCGCAGGTCGAGATGTTCTCCGCTCTTCGCTTGCTTAGGGTGGAATGTTCCAAGCCCTGCTCTGTTGCTGCGTCCTGGCTTCAGGGTGGCCCTGGGTACCTCTTGTGGAACGCCGCCCGGAGCGAAGTCCGGACCCTGCCCATGAAGAACATGCCCTTCATCTCCAACACATCGCGGATCGCGTACCCCAGCCGGCGCGCCTCCCCCTCCGTGAAGTTGCTCAGGTCCCACATGTGGAAGCGGAACTC